AAATCAGAGGCAGGTTAGTACATGAAGCTACTTGAGATCTAGTCAGTTTAACAAAAAAAATTGCAAGTTGAGTGTTCCTTGAAGAGACTCATTCAACACAACAGGGGGACCAGTTGCTGAGCTGGTATTAAAACTCGAGTGGAACCCCGGTTATTCAATCTATCTGGGACTAGAGCCAGATCGGATAACCAAAAATCCGGATAAACCAGAGAGAATGGTTTCTCAAGCCCCGGCCACTGTCTGCCCCGGGCAGCTGGTGCTTTGATAAATATGGAGAGCCAGATAATGGAGGCTTGGTTAAATGGGGTTCTACTGTAGTTTATTCCTGGTTCCCAGACAACGTTCTGTAAAGCATGTCCCTCTATCTTACTAGGACGACAACTAAGAGCCTCATTTTCATAGGTGTGGAGCACACACACTTCCCATTGACTTCAGCTGGAATTGAGGGAGAAAGATTAAGGGAAAACAGGAAAACCAGACCATAAGTTTCTATTATTTCTTCCCTATTACCATTAAATACTCAACCTCAATTTTATCCTTTAATTACTAACCTTGAATATCTACAATTTAAATGTTTGAAGTGGGGTGTGTTTTTCCTAGACTATTAGCAGTTGACAGTAATTGTGATTGGAAAGGTAGTTTCTCATAAGTGTGCGATTATGTCTTGGACAGTCTTGAAATCTTTTTAGTGGGAATTCCCATTAATACTTGGCTAACAGATGCCATCTAAACGTACTATGATAACTGGCAACAGTTATTTCAACAGTATAAATATGGAGAGGAATTATGTAGAATGATACATGATATTGCTAGAAGTTACAGAATCGAAATTGCTGAAGGGAAGAATTAGGGTGAATATCAGGAGAAATTTCATGAGAGTGAAACACAGTAAGGTGTGGAATGTGGAAGTCTTCCAGGGAAGTAGAGGGAGTCCCATGATCTGACACACTCTCGTATTTTGTCCAGGATAGCTTTAAATGTACTGTAAGTAACAATACTAACTATCAGGGAGATAACCAGATGACCTAAATAGGAGTTTGAAATGGCAGGGACCTAGGATTCTATAAAACGTTATTTGTTTACTGCCAAATCATAAATGGTCTTGAATTCTTGAAAGTAAATAAAATATTGATATTGGAAATGGTTGACAATACATTTCAAGATAGTTTTATCCCTTATTTTGGTATTAGAGCAGATAAATCCATCATATAATTGTGGACAAGGTAGGTAGGGAAAAAGTTATTTTTAGTCTAAACCACAGTTGCCTCCACCAGAACAGAGATGTAACACAGTTACTGATTTGTTATCCTACTCTTCCCCCCACCCCCTATGGTTATATAGTTCCCAGCTCTGCATGTCCAATTCACATCACTCACTATACAGTTATTTCTCTGTAACAACTTGGTATTAGAATCACTATCATCATGATCTTTGAACTTCTATTTTTCAAATAAATTTACTGTGGATAGATATGTAACAATTCTCACACTATACAGTATAATACATCTGCTAAAATTAGCACACACAGAATTCTCAAGTTGACTGCCCCCCAATAAAAAAAAAAATTAAAAATCACCTCAAATTCTCACTCCCTTCAGTTAAATCAGAAAATCTCCAAAAACTACACATGGAAAAAAATAGATTAGAGATAGATATACATATCCAGCCATCCAGAAATGACTACCAAACTGTCAAAAGGACATATTTTAAAATCCTTCAACATATTTCCCTCCTTCAGGTCCAATCATGCTCCCTATGAAGTCAAATTTTTAAGGTTTGTTTTTGGGCTTGGGATAGAGATTTAAAGAAAACGTTGGGGCTTTTTAAAAATTAGCTTAAGTTAACAGTTTTAATTAAGAGTCTTACAATGTATTTCAAATTTAGAAAAAATATTAAAATCTTATTATTTTCCTATATTAAAAGAAAGATACTTAATTGGCTTAACATGCTCTTGGATGTCAGACTGTTTATATACAAAATGCAACAAAGAAATTTAATAGCCATGTGAAGTTCTTATTTTAGGTTTAGGGAACAAAACTTTTTGCTGATAGTATTTATGGAATCCATTTTGACTAACAGAATTTAAACCAAAATGTAATGTGGAAACTCTTTCACTCAAGGGTTAAAGAAACAGGCTATGGCTTACAGTACACTTTCCATTTCCCTTACTGCTGCTTCTGTGCATTCCTGAAAATTAATCAAGGCAAAATTTGCAGTCAAGCATGTATAGAAACAACTCATGCTTAATGTGGACATTCTAAAGACTAGCATTTTGCTATCGCATATTAGTATCAATGTCACAACCCGCAAGTTAAATGGAGAGTCAATGCACCTCAGATGCATCTTGTAAGTAGAAAAACCATGTACACTGCATTGATGCACAAAACTTGTGCTTTTGAAGAAAAATATTGCTAACATCGATTTTACTGCAAGTGATTAAACACGCTCATTAACAGAGCATTCCATTTAGAGCTGGATTCTGCTTTCCCTTTAAGTCAACGTAGTTTTGGATATGTAAGGAATGCAGGATCAAGTCCTTATTTCATAATTTATTTCCTGATCCTGCAAACAGATCTGCCAGAATGGACCTTATGTTTCTATGGATTCCCATCAACAGGAGCCTGTAGGGGCATAAGCATCTACTCTTGTGCATCTATTTGCAAGATCATGCCTTAGTAATTTCCAGTAAATATTTCCATTTACAAGTTAGACCTAATGTAGGTTCCAAAAAGTTGTTTTCATTTTTTTGTTTGTTCTCTAGACACTGCAAAACTAGAGCCTAGTTACCAGCGTGTTTTTCACACTACTGATCTGGGCTATTGATGGTACTTTCATGATTTACTTTTAATTTCCAGTCTCTCTTACATATAACCACCTTCACCCTTTTTTAATCGAGGATGCAAGCTTCAGATGTAAAAATCAAATCTCTTCCAAGCTACGACTTCATGCTTTGTAAAAGTTTCACCCAATCAGCTTCTCTTTTTGGGGGGGGGGAGGGGGGGAGGAGAAAGTTTGAAGGAAGTTCTGTTGGACCATGTTTAAGTTTTAAACAGGAAAAATAGTCTGGGAACTTCAAGCATTTTTCCTGTGCTTTTATAATTCAAGTGTGTTTTTGCAAAAACAAGATTTTGAAGGTCATTAGATCCAAATAATATAGAAAGGAAAGTTTCACCCATTTAAAAAGAAGCTGAAATCAAATAAGAAGTAGTTACTATTCAAAAGCTATTCATGATTGCTTTGAAAGCTCAGTCCCTGTTCACTTGCTAAACTTAAGCCTTGAATTGAAACAATCTAGGGAATTTAGGTATTTTCCACTGAAATTAATGGAAGACATGTCTAAATCCACTACTCCACCTGGAAAAAACCTCAGCCAAGAAGTACTTGAATCTCTAAATTTTTTTTCCCAACTCATCTTGCAGTCTGCAGACTGCTAATAGTGCTGCTGATGCACTTACATACCACCTTTCATCCAAAGATCTCAAGACTGTCACAGGCAATGAGTAGAGCCTATCAAATTCACAGTCCATTCTGGTCAAGTTCAAGGCCACAGAATTTGAAAATTAGTCAATTTCACATTTTCAGATGTTTAAATCTGAAATGTCAGGATGTTGTAACCGTGGGGGTCCCAACCGAAAAGGGAGTCATGGGGGTGGGGGGTCACAAAGCTGTTGTGTGTGGGGGGAGGGGGAAAAGGCATGGTCCATGGGATTGCCACCCTCACTTCTGCGCTGCCTTCAGAGCTAGGTTCTGAAGGCAGCAGCCCCAGAACTTCCTGCAGTCACAGGAGGTTACTGGAGGTGGAGGTGAGTCTGACCTCCCCCGTGCTGCTGGGAGTCCTCCTAGCTGCTAGTCCCAGCTGGGCTGGGGAGGGACAGGACTTGCTCTTCCCTGCCCAGCCCCAGATCTTCCTGCAGCTGGGGTAGGTACCCCGAGGTGGGTCTGATCCCCCTGAGCAGCTGTGCAGGGGAAGATTAAGTCCCATTCATTCCCAGCCCGGGGAGGAGGGCAGGGACTAGCAACTGGAGCCAGGGACCAGGTAGGAGCCCCTGGCTGGGGTGCCCCCAGCCCTGCCCCTCCCATCCAATAGCTTGATTTCATGGTCTGACACCTGTTTCACGGCCAGGAATTTGGAAGGACCCTAGCAATGAGAGTTTGTGTGATTTGGCCAAGGTGGCTCAGCAACACTGTGACAGACTCATGAACAGAACCAGGCTGCCTGATTCCAGTTCTCTGCTCTACACTCATGTAACAAAAATTATGTTAGCAAGATTAACTCAAAAATAAGTATGTGCATTGAAATAAATGGAGCTATGCTTGTTTACACCATCTGATTATCTAGCCCTAAAAGGGAGGGCAAGAAGAATAATACAATTGATAGCTAATGAGGAAATGTATAAATTAAGCAGTAGGTTTTCCAAGCTGCATGCATCCCAGTGCATGGTATTGTAAACCATAACTGCATGCTTGTGCTGGATGCACACAAATCTCTGAAAACGTGGCCCTACATGCTCATCACTCAGGTATTAAGGAGCAACCCATAGTTTTTTTTATCCTATGAAATGGATGATCTCACTTTTCATTCTTTAAATACTGCTTGTGTGAATTACTGGATCTTAAAACTCTAGAGTATTACAATTCATCTCTTCCCCCCTCCCCCCATTTAATATTTAAGGTATCAAACCTGTAACACAAAATCTCTGTTCAAATCAGTGGGATGTGTGTGTGCAGGGACTGCAGGATGAAGTCCCAAATGTTACAGATTACCTTACAGCTACAATCAGTTATTTTATTAAACATAATGAATGGAATGCTCTAAACAATGTTGAGATCTCTACAGCATATAGTTACAGACAATTGTTCACTGTCTAGTCACAGCTGCATTCCACCACTCAAGTTTCATCAAGAATTACACATTGGCTTTGGGTTAGAAATCATAAACCCAGAGCCCTTGATGCAAGTAATACATTACAAAAACTGAAAGATGTGCACAATGGGACATGACAAGATAAACAAAATTCATCCACTTTATAATATGCTGTTTCCTTCCTGGCTAGCAACTGAGAACCCACGCTTTAAAATGCAGTATTCTACTGGATAAAATTAAATGTGTTAAGTGCAGTGGTTTTAAATTTTATACTTGAACAACTAATGTTACACAGTATGGCAATAATACAGTATACTGTAGATATACAAAAATGTTTTATATACCTGCACATCCCATAACCATTTTCTTACTCTATTTCTTAATACTAAGGACACATATAGCACTTTACATGTTATAAACATTGTACAAATACTAACTAATCCTCACAATACCCTAGTTAAATAGGCAACTATTCTCCCCATTTTACAAAGTGTGGAAATGGATGCAGAAAAGTTAAGTATCTTGTCTTTGGCGGCACAAGGATTCTGTTGTGCAACTGAAGTTTAAAACTCAGAAGTCTGAGACTTCCAAACTTGCATACACTCCTCCGTGTTTTTTGACTAGGAGGTTATTAGTCCCTTGCGTTGTTCACTGATTAGATGTGTGTCAGCAAGTATTACCCAGTCAGAAAGCAGATGTAGTTATTAAAATGAGATGCTACTTACTTTCCATTGTTTACAAGCCCTAACGAAACCTGATGTGGATTCAAACTTCTTTTTAGGTACAGAAATGTGGATCCACTTGAATTTCTTTCTGCTGGCACATTCTTCTTTCCTTCCAAATGGCATGACAGGTTCCCAATGTCACACCTAATGTTTCCTAATGTAAAAGGAATTAACATGTATATTCTGGTTCACCTAAAACTTTTCTATTGTCCACACAAATGGAAGTCTTGCAAGAGACAAAATATTAAGAGAAGCACAAAACTGTGCTTCTTTCAACCTAAACCTTAAAAGTTCCTCAGATTGCTAAAATGCTTTTAAAAGAAACACCATTATATTATACAGTTAAACCATCTTGATCAGAATTCATCTGATCTTTCCAGAATGTTAAGGCCTGTGAGAGGTAAGGCTTACGCTGGATGTTTTGGTGACAACTTTTCTCAAGACTTTCTTGAAACTAAATTCAGAGTATTGTTTTGCTCGGGAAAGAGAATGACCATTTCTACAAGAGACAACAACAGCTTATACTTTAATGCAATAGCCTTTGGTGTATTTGTATGAAGTATAATAAAAAGCATTCAATTTTACAAACTAAATTGTACTGAGACAATCCGTGACACCTCTCCAAAAAAATTGGGAATATGGTGGCTCCTACAAGATTTCCTGGTTTTCTTTACCACAATCAAAGGCTTTCTGCCTCCAACCCTTTGGTTGTGGCTCCCCACACAGTATGTTAATACCACAATCATAAAACACAACATAAAAATGCTCCTTCACCCCAGAAAACCGAGCACACTGCATCTACAGCATCCCCATACTCTGCTGGCCTAAAAAAAAAAAACCCAGAATCAAGCTTGAAGTCTGAAATCTGATCTGCTGCTTCTAAACTTCAAGCGCGCTTACTAATAAAAATTGAGCTTTCCAAGCTGCCCTATTGTCCCTTCACAAGACAGATAGAGACCGTATATTGAGGTGAACAGCGTGCTCAGCATCAGTGCAGCAAGCAACTCTGCCATGCATCTGATGAAGTGGGTTCTAGCCCATGAAAGCTTATGCCCATTATGCAAATTTGTTAGTCTCTAAGGTACCACAAGGACTCCTTGGTTGTTTTTGCTGATATAGATTAACACGGCTACCACTCTGAAACAAACAATACTGTAGATTAATCCACAAAACACTAATTTAGGGAGGAAATTTCTGGAGGTTAATTCATAAAAGCGGTTTGAGAAGAAGCCATTCTCCTCCTTGACTGTGGGGCATGCAAGAGTGGCTGTCAATAAGAAACTTCATACCTGTGAATTGAATTTCTGTAATTCAAATTCACTAATCCAAACAGGTGAGCTTCATGCTCAGTCTTTTAAACTGTGATTTATTAGTGGGAGTAAAGGCCTTAATGGCTAGACATGCACTGCACTTCTCTCTCCAGCAGCCACATAGGATCACAAAAAGGGATCCTAAATCACCACCTTCCCTGTGCTAAACAGACATCAAGATAGTCTCTGGACTAGAGAAGCCAGATCACAGACACCCCAGTTTACAGGTAAGATAAATAGAAATAGAAACATCAGAACCATCACTTTGGACCAACAGTCACTATCTAGCATTACCCTACAACTTTTACAAAGAAAGGGTAATCCAGGGGTTGGGAACTAGCCTGGAACTCAAGAGACCCAGGTCCCTACTCCACTACACACTTCTTGTGTGACCTTGGGCAAGTCATTAAGACCTAAATATCTCTAAAAATATGGACATTACTCGCTCAGCAATGCAAGGCCTATGTGACTTAGGACCCTAAGTTTCACTGAAGTCAATGGTACTTAGGTCTTGCAATGCTGAAATACTTTTTAAAAATCTGTGCTCGAGTCTCTCTGTGCCTCACTGTCCTATCTGTAAAATGGGGATAACAACATTTCCCTCAGAGGAAGTGTTCTGAAAATATCTACATTGAGGATGGTGAGGCACTGAGGTGCTATGATAATGGGGATTTTTTTTTTCCTAGCAAGGTATCTTATCTAAACCAATAACTGAGGCAGGAATATAAACTGGGTACGAGGATAAGGGAAAGCATCGTTTTTCTCATCAAATCCTACCCTCATCATGGAAGTTGGAGGCTCCTATCATTTACAACTAATATGATCTTGCCCCTATTCTCTACTGCAGCGGTTTTCAAACTTTTTAAGCTTCCAAATAATGCAGTTGACTGTGTACCCCCATTGGAGGAAGGGTCATAATATACCTGTGAAAACGGGGAGGGTTGCGGGGGGAGGAAGGGGGAGAGGTTAAGGTCTGTAAGGGATCACATGATGCATTGTCTGCCAATACAGGCTTTTTCCTCACATGCCTCGACGAAATTTTACGTATCCCTAAGGAGTAGCGTATCCCAGTTTGAAAACCACTGCTCTACTGGATCATTTAATTCACCACATTAGTAATAATATAAAGCTTTCTTGGATCATACAGCCCTCTATCAGCCATAGCAAGGGACAATCTACAGAGGTGTGTATGGTTTATTAGCACATCATACAAATCACATCCCTGCCTCAAAGGGCTTACAGTTAAAACTACTTTAGCTATGCACCTGCACAGTAGTAATATGCTTAAAAACCACATACAACTTACTTCCTGCTATTTGGTGTTATGAGGAGATAGAAGATAGTGGGGAAGATAAAGCAGCACTACCAACAATCGAATTGTAGAAGGGGGAAATTTACAGAAGTTTCCATCTATAGAAGTATGGAGAAGGAAGAGTCCCTTCCCGACAATAGCTTAAATTATTAAGTTATCTCAAAACCTACATCGTCTAGTGAAGAAATGCAGGATGTCCACCTTCACACTTGACATTTCAGATGTATATTTCCAATTCACTCAACGTAATTACGGACTAGACGGAATGAACTTTATGGGAACTTTTTATCTTATACCTCCTTTGAGACAACACCCATTTTGCTAAATCCTCCTTTCTATTGCAAACTGCAGGTGGGCTAAAACAAAAAAGACTGACGTTTCCTGGTATAGAGTTTGTAGAGAGACAAGACAATCGATAGTATGACATGGGAAGGGGGGTTGAACACTAAACAAGCAAACCCAAAAATGCCAACAAAACAAAACCACACCTATATTGCCTTAAAAAAAAAAGAAGAAGAAGTCTTACTAAATCAAATCAGAAAGAAAGCCCATATTCGGGAAGACCAAACTCTGCTCTTCCCTCAGATCCTATCTGGATTAGTCCTGTGGCACCTTATAGGGTACATCTATCTACTGGAGGGTCCAGCGGCAGCCAATCGATGTTCTGGGATCGATCCCGAAAGTGCTCGCCGTCGACGCCGGTACTCCAGCTCGGCGAGAGGAGTACGCGGCATCAACGGGGGAGCCTCCCTGCCGCGTCTGGACCCGCGGTAAGTTCGGACTAAGGTACTTCGAATTCAGCTACGTTATTAACGTAGCTGAATTTGCGTACCTTAGTCCGAAGTGGGGGCTTAGTGGGGACCAGGCCATAGACTAACAGACGTATAGGAGCATGAGCTTTCGTGGATGAATACTCACTTCTTCGGATGCATACTCCCCCCGCCCCAAAAAATCTGCATGCATCTGAAGAAGTGGGTATTCACCCACAAAAGCTCATGCTCCTATACATCTGTTAGTCTATAAGGTGCCACAGGCACCTCTGCTGCTTTTAAAGATCCAGACTAACACAGCTACCCCTTTGATATCTGGATTAGGAATTTTGTGTGAAAAAATTCCCCCACCAGAGCTATGGTTCCAACAAATTGGTCAATGTTAGCACTGGCAGGAGCCCTAACATAGGCAGAGCTCTGGCAACTGACAGTGTTTCCCACATGTTAGTTAAAAGTGGTGAAAAGTGGCCTGGCTACTAGAGCTTCCTCTACACCAGGGCTCCCACTGGTGCTAGCCCTGGGGTTCATGTTAATTGTGACAGCAGAAATCCCTACCACAGACAAAGTTTAAGAGCTGTTCTGCAAACCTCCTACACATAGAACTCCCACTGCAAGCATGGCACTCTTGCAGACTTGGGCTCTACTTACTAGAATTAAGAATATAAAAGAAAATGTCATATACCAAAAAAAGATGTTTGCAGATGTTTTAAGGAAATTAAAAAGATGTTTATATTTTTAAAAAAGCAGAAGTAGTCAGCTCTTTGCATTAGACTTTTAACAGATATTTCAAAGAAAGAAATGTGCTTGATATTGAAAGTGTTTACAGGAGTTCAATGTAACTGTGTAAAAAGACATCAAGTGAAAGTGGGTAGATGGAATAGTTCTGCCACAAAAAATACCGGATTTCCATAGCCCTTGGATTTGTGCATATTGTTCACAAATTTGCATTCAATTAATTTATTTCCATGGCAAATTTAACCTCTCAAATCTGATCTTAAAAATCAGTTTGAGTCGCCCTCTCCCACAATTAATACAAAATGATACACATTTCTGTGAAACAGAGAAAAACTGTGCCATACATGACCGCAGAATTGTTTCCTTTCAGATCTCAATTGCAAATCATCTCACTTAGTAGGCAGAAATTTTCTATACTAGTGTAAACTGGATGTAATCATAAGGATGATTTCAAGATGTCGGAAAACAATCTCAACATGAAAATGGAAACCAGGATTTGCAAGTTTTCCACTCCTCCACCACTTAAAAAAAAAGTAAGACAATAGAAAGCATTTTTCTTGAAGTCAAAGAACATACAGGTGAGGACTACAAGGTCGTTGAGATGTGCTAATGAATGATATTGTGTGTGCGCGCACAAAGCACCTTAATTTGAGGCCTGCATTCATCTCTAACTTCAAGTCACATTTAAAAGATAGCTCAAGTGTCCTCCCTTTTTAAAATAATTTTGATTATTTTCCGGTAAGAATTACTGGCAGCTCTCTTTCTTTCTCCCCCCACCCCCAAAAAACTGGCTATTTTATACTAGTATTAGTTTATCCTAGCCAAAGATTAAAAAAAAACAAAAAACAAAAAAAAAGTCCCATTCACATTGAATTGGGGGGGGGGGGAGGAAGGATTTCTCTCCCCACTCCCCATCTAACTCTGGTAAATAATAAATAGAGAGATCAGCGCCCGGGCATGCAATCACAGAAAGCTCCAGATCTGGGGAGCAGGAGTAGGGCACCTCCACTTTGCCCCTGCCCCCAATCTCCGTTTGAGAATCAT